TAATTAACATTTTTTAAATCATTGATTTGTTTAGTTGTTTGTTTAGAAACTTACTTGCAACAAACATTATGATGGGAGTTGTATAAACTAGACATCTCTGGCAACATTCATTTGAAGTTTCCTGTCCACAAATACATTTACATAAGATCCAGGCCAGTAGAAATAGAGCAAAGATTGAACCAATGATAAGCAGAATTAATCCAATGAGAGCCATGAACTGACAAACCACCAGCCAGGCTGAAATATTCAATTCAATTAATCATTAATGATTTATTTTTAATATAATTCTAACAACGCCAACACCCCAGATATATTTTTTAGTGCTTCAAAACACGTATAGTGTACAATTTAAAACATGAATACAAATATTTTTATAACATACGTACGTGGTAAGAGCCAATGCTGCAAGTCCTTAAAATAATCAGAGTTGATGGCGTGACAGCCATTGTATGTTCGACTCGGAGTTTCATGTGTATGAACATAATCGTGGAAACAGGCCACCCATAATCCCACATTCAGGAAATCACTTTTTGAAGAAGTACTAGACTTAAGCCAAAAATTTGTTGAAATGGCAATCAGATTGCAAACAAGAGCTGCTAATATAACCACCACAGTGACAACAATCCATACGCAACCAACTGGACCTCGTGTTGACATATTCTAATTGTATAATATTTTCTGGACAGAACTGACTCGTTTACTTCAACTCTTCTCAACAAATTCCAAATAATTTTCTAAGCAAGCAACCTACACAGCTCAGAAATACGTAAACAGCCAAGTTCGATTCGAACCGTACATGCCTTTCGATACACATGCACTAATACATTCATACTTGTCGGTATATATATATTTATATATATATATACATGCATTCATATAAAGTTATATATAGGTATATATACATTTGTTTTTATATATAATGTACGTCAATGTATACCTATACAAATAAATATACATCCAGCTAGTTTGCAATGCGGTGTTAACAACAAAGCCTAGCTTTCAATTATATTAATCATATTATCTGTTTGTATTATAATGAATGGTACATATTTTGTGTATGCATTGCATATGCGTGCACGAATCTAACAGATTACAAACTTTAAAAATAATTAATAAAACGCGATCACTACATGTTTATAATATGAATAAAAAATACAAATGATCTTTTTCTCATAATGCATTATGGGAAATATTGTTAAAATTTATATCAATAATAAGATTGTGTTTTAATTAATTATACGAGTTTTCTATTACGTTGTGTTATATTATAAAAAAACGTTTTTTAAATCAATCTAAAAATAACTCACGCAGACCCATTTTTATACGAAGAAGCGCAGACACAACGCGACCCACGCGATTCACTTCACTGCAAAATCTTGAATCCGAAACTTTGTTTTTACACAAACTAGCACAAACCGTTGTTAATTAAAAATATTCAAAAAGGGTATGTAGAGATATCCTGAACTTTATTGTATGATAAATATTATGAAATGAATATATGGATGCCATTCTACATGCTGTGCTTTCATCTGCCAAATTTTCTTTTGAGTTGACGTCAATGGAGCATTGCTTTATATCTCTTTTGTAGAAATCTTGAAACCTTAACAACAACGCGATCCTTCTTTACTCCACTGCAGAAATCCTGTTGTCCCGCGTTCCTCAACTATTTTCCTAACATGGCCGATCCATCTGAAACGTCTCTCAGTGAGAACTGCATGGAAACTATTTAACTTCGGTGTTTGGAATCATATCCTGCCACTTGATCCGCAATAGAAGCGGTTTAGTTCTTTAATGTCTCGCGTAAGTGGTCTACGTCTCGCTGCCGCAGATGAGAGGGCCTAGCTAACAACATTTTTAAACGCAATCTGGTGTTTTTAGTAAGGCTATAGTTGTTTCACACTTAATGGTTAAATATGGCTATAACTGTAGCTGCTTTTAATTTCACAATCAATGAGCTGGAAACAGTAAACTTGAGATGAGTAGTTTTTTTTACAACCTCAGCAGTGTATATTCTCAATGGTGATTTTCAGAGAGGTCTACGCGCTTTGAACAACAGTATTGAGTTTTAATAGTTAACTCAAACATCTTGCACTGGAAAAACAGGTAAAAAAGCTGTTTAAATCCTTTCTCGGTGTGTCCTGTACTTTTTCTCTTTGCACACAAACGAGCCATGCTGTAGAGCTTGCTATCAGACCTAGTGTGGGTGTTAACACCCTTGCTGTTGTCTCTAAAGGCGCTTTAAAGGAGCATAGAAAAAAGATGCCAAAAAGTATAGGCGTTGGGACTGCTAACCGAAAAAGCCTCGGATATGCGCCGTTGTAGCACACCGTTTTTTTGAAAAGACATGATTACCACAAGCAGCCTTAGAAAACAGTTAACTTTCCGCAGCAAAGTCCAATTTTACCAACTTTATCGGATAAAAGTGATGTAGAGTGGCATCTGTTGCTTTTCACAACTAGCAGGAACAAAATCATGTTCACAGTTGATTGACCAGTCCTTAAACTGCATTGAGATTTTGGGTAACTTCACATTCACTAATTGAACTCCAATGATAAACAATTTAAGATAATTGAAAATTTGCTCCCTGTTCTACATGCTAAACTTTGCCGTGGGCTCTCTATTTAATCATTGAAAATATTTTTATTTATGAAATAATGTACTACCTTTTTATTGACTGCACATTTGAGAGTTTAAACAATTTTTTCAATAATATATATGTGTGTGTGTGTGTGCGCGCGCGTGTGTGTGTGGGTTTCATCATTTACTTTACGAAATGTTGAAATGAAGAATAAATATTTTAATATTAAACATGAAAGAATAACATTTAACGCATATGAAAATTTTGAAGTAATTGAAAACCGCTACGGAATTCCTTTGAAGCAATTTTTAAAATAGTCCATAATTAAATTGATAATATGAGATAGATGAACGATGCCTGCAATTATGATGCTGCAAAAAATAGTGAAAATGGTTCAATATTAGAAGTAAAAAAAAAATTACCATAGAAAATTTGTGCATTTGTATTGAAGCCATTTTCATAATTGCGTTTACGAATAAAAGTATTTCCCAGCGTAATTGCTTGCTATTTATTTAAATGATACGTCATTCAGTTGTCAGAAGCAAATATATGAATGGTTAGATTCATATGCAATGAATAGGTTTTTAGTCGTAAGATTGCAGACGAAAACAAAGATTTCAATGTTATGTAACACATAAACTTCAATGATGTTTACGAATAATATTAAAATAACTTCACACTTTGTTTCAATGATTACTTGATAAATTAATGGCTAATCTACTATTTTCGAAATTATAACGAGAAACTCTCTGCGAGGATTCTTTCAGCAGACTAGGGCTCATTTTAGCCTATAACAGAGCTTCGTTTCCATAATTTTGCTTTGCTCAGTAATGGAGTAATGAAGTTGATCGAAACAATTAACTTTGAATGTCATTGATAACTTTGTGAGTGCAACATTACGAAACAATTTTCTCTAAGAAAACGGTACTGTCATTAGAAATTACATGTTAACTTCGTTTACATAAAAGTTTTTTACTGCTTACTGGTGACTTAATATGCAAACATAGGGAAATGGGTGCGGGGACAAGTTTTATCGTTCCGGTGCTTTGCAGTTTCGGTACGCCGGTGATAATCACTAACATTATGTACAACAGGTTCTGAATCCTCAAGAATATGTCAGAAGAACCGCCATTTCCTATATTTTTCCTGATTCCATACAGTAATGTGTGGTGAGGTCCGCAGACTACTTTTGTCAGAAATTCTTATGATTAGATAGTCTCATCGGATAAACTATTTTTACATTGATTTTATAAAAACACACGATAAATAGTTGTTCAAAACAACACCTTCATCAATGGCGAGATTTCATAAGTAATAAAACACCAAGGTCAGATATTTAATATAATTTTTTACTCCATGCGTAACGGATCAAATATTGCAGTCAATTAAGTTAATAAAATTAAGTTCAACGAGGATTCAATGGTTTCGGATTAATTACTTTACCGTTTCAATTAGCTTACATTATATATTGTATTGTATTACAAACAAATATTAGTTAATACAAAATATTTTATACTACAAATTACATTATTAAAATCGGAAGCTTATCAAGTATTAATCTATTTTTTAATATTAAATTGTATCAAGCGCAAATCTAAGCAACTTTGACCGGCAGAGAGCCAAAAACTGGAAATACTTGGCAACTGATTGCTTATCGCATTATTTTATGTCAATAATTTTCCTTTTGATAAAAAACTGTGTTTTCGTGAATTAAAACTGTGTTTTTATATATAAAAATATTTGCTATATATCCTAGCTAAATTTTCAAGTAATTACAACAAAATGGTTGACTGTCGAAAATGCTTATGACATCGACATTGAAATTTATTGATACTTTGGTTAAGTCATATATATAGAATATATCATAAATAGAATATATACGTTGAAAATTGACTAGACCTATATATTGATATTCTCTCTCTCTCTCTCTCTCTCTCTATATATATATATATATATATATATATATATATATATGGGTTTAGTCAATTTTCAACTTAGGGAAGATAATAAATAAAATAAAACGAAGATATATTTATTAATTAGATTAATTAAATAAAGGAATTAATAAATGCTGTCTTAGGTTTTTAATTTTACTATATTAATAATTTTTATTGAAAAACAACAAGCCATTAATTAGTGCTTAAATGTATAGTCGTGCTTTACAAAAAACTTAAAATTTACTCGGCATAAATATTATGCGGCTAAGGAGGCCGAAGGAAGGAGAGTTTCGAAAGATGATGCCGACTGAATGCATGATTCAATTTGTCTCTCAATTCTCTAAATATTATCTTTTTTGTAACTACCCAGTCTAGGCATTCAAACTTTTTGTCCATATATATATACTATATCCATGGTTTTGTCACCATCCAACTTTAGACTGAAGATATCTTTTTAAAATGTCAAATAATTTTTTTTCAATGGTTCGTCAACTGCCATTTATTACTGGCTGGTGTAAAAATGGCTCTGTCAAAAATGATTAGCCGATCTCACTTCTCGACAAGTTGCATTTTTTCCGTGTCACCTTTAAGAGATTACCATTTATAAAATTTATTTATTAGTTTTTCTACTTAATTGCTTTTTATTAAAAAAAAACTAAGAAACTCAATATATTTTATATAAGTAACCGTTTTTCACTACTTCACGCTGTTATCTACATTTTATGTTTTTATTTTGCATGTTTTATCAAAGTCGTCAGGCGTTAAAGAACATGCTGTTTTTCATGTACAATGTTGAACACCGCCCTTGCTGAAGATATTTTCTTGTTTTTCTGACCGGAATACCACTCGATAAATAAATCCGTTCAAAAACGGATACATCATTTCTGAATAACGTTTTTTCAAAAAGTCATTGATGCTCACATTGTTGTGGTCGTTCTCATGTTTAATTAATTGAAAAATGTATCGATTGATATAACAGTAACACGAATAATTGATACGTTGTGTAGGTATATTATATATATATATAAACAATATATATATATATATATATATATATATATATATATATATATATATATATATAAACAACACCAATAATACACTTTTGAACAATTAAGTACCGAACTATTAATATAATCTTACAATTACCCACTAGCGTACAGAGGGGCGGCGGGAAGGCTGTACGCCCCGGGCCTCCGATTAAAAGGGGACCTCCGATTAAAGGTTGGCCTCCGATTAAAGGGGGGCCTCCGATTAAAAGGGGGCCTTCGAAAAAGCCGATATACACAAATTTTAAAATAAATAATTTCATTAATAATTATATAGATAAAATTTTGTTCTTTCACTTTTTATTTATATATTTAAATATATTTATTTATACATAATATAGTTACAAACAATGTTGTTTTTAAATCCAGACCCAATGAATGAGGAACTTGAAGAAAATGACATTATTGATGAATATAAACGTTTAAGACGTCATCTTCAAGCAGGTAAAGTTGACAAAGAGGATGCTAAACAATGGTCTACTCCGAAAAGGTAAACTTATATGATAGAAATAGATTTACATGAATCAGTTTCAAGCTTATATTCGGCTGTAAAGATTTTTTGACATGTGCGTTTCAATTTCTTCTTGCGAAAGAAGCTTTTTGAAATTGAAGCTGATTAAAACTTAGACTACTTTGGTTCGGCAATGAGTCAAGCAAGACTTAATGGTCTAGCGATCTTATCAAGTGAAAACACAATGGCGAGAAATATTAACGCATCGGGCTTTAATAATTTTAAGGACGCCACTGCAATTACCTCCTAGTGTGAATTATATAAAAAATTACGCTTATATTTTAGCAGAACAGTTGAATGCGATGCAAATGATGACACTCCTTCTTTATACGTAACCATAAAGAAAACTAAAAAAGTTAATGTTACCAATTTCCTCCTATTATATAGGAGCCGCGTTCATCATTATCAGGAAGCATTGACTACGGTAAGACACATATTTTTAACCTTTTGTTGACTGGTTGGTTGGTCAATCAGATTAATCAGATTGACAACTTTTTTAGATCCATTGTTAATTTTTGGAAAATGAATGCTTTCCTTTGAATGTGAATGTCCAAAAACTCCACATATCAAGAAAAGAAAAGAATGGCAATCTCGTGTTATCTATGTTTTATATTATATCTTACGAGCCCAGACACTGCGTCATTGAAATGAAGCAAATGGTTGAGTTCCAAAGTTACAAAATAAGATTTGAAAATATCAAAATTGCCGTGGCTTTACGAGATAAGTCACAATTCTCCGTTAGCTTAACCATTAACTATTTCCAATCCTTCTCCAGACGGCGACGGACAAGATGACCTGACAATTTACGAAAATAATGTAAACTCTCGGAGGATTGTTATGACGGTAAACTCAGTGCTGCCAGTTGCCATCGATTGCGCCTCCTTAAAAACTGCCTCATCCATCCTTTATAGAAACGCCGCCAAAGCCGCCTCGGAGTCATATATGGCGCAAGTGCTGCTCAACGGATGGCCTCCACCAAACCTTAAATTAGATAAATCTGAAGAAAGTTTGCCCAGGACAATCAAACGGACCCTAACCCAGCTCCGCTTTGGCTACAGCATCTATCACGGCAGCTACAAATCAAGAATCGACAGTGGGCTCAACAACATCTGTCTTTCTGCCACCAACAACCAGACGATGTCCCTCATCTGTTCAGCTGCCTCAAGAACCGCACACATCTCAAAATAATAGATCTGTGAAGAAACCCGGTGGAAGTGGCAAACTGGCTTGGGCCTCGCCTGAACGAACGTCTAGAAAGGGCGACCCAACAACAACAACATCGATACGATTTATACGACACCAGGCCAAAGAAATACAAACACTGAAATTATATGCAAATCTATGGTATGGAATTAAATTTTTTTTAATAACTAAAATAAACAGAATGTTCAAGTATTTTAAAATTTCTATGTAAAATATTATATATATTTATATATATATATAATTCCATAATTATTTATACATACAAAACTATAAACTCATATATATATAACATAAAATATAATGATATCGTATATAATAATAATTTATTTCAAGTGAGGTGTGAGGTAGCGATCTCAACAAAACCTTTGTTTTAACACAGCACTGATTATTAATCAACTTTCACTTTTAGCTTAATTTTTTTCAAGTCATTTTGGTTTTTAAAATAATTTTGTTTGAACCGTGTCCATCCGAGTTTAGAGTATCAAAATCAGGTGATTGATTAATGAAAAATGCAATTAAAAATGTTGTGAATCAAAAACTAGACTCTTGAATTACTCTCGGGTTTTCTATTATTTATCAATCAACTTCAATAATTTTATTTTATTTATCAATTAATCTTCTGTTTAGTGTCCAGAGACCCAGTTTCCTAAAGTAGGATGTTGTTTTCTTTGCCATCAACTTTTTGCGCCAAATTAGACGATCAGTTGTATCCATTTCATTTAAATTTAGAGCTTTCATGTCTTGCTCAATTGTTTGCGACCAGGACTATGCAACCTTATGGCATTATTCCTTTATTTATATAGTATCTAATATTCTAAACTAAACCAGCACGACGCAGGATTTTGGTAGATTTGATGTGGTCCTTCAGACTATTTAGTTGCATCCATTAGAGCATTTTCATACGGTTCGTTAAAGTTGTTCCAGTTTGGTTATCATTGGCCATGTTTCTGCACCATATAACAAGACCGGACATATCACAGATTTATAAAGTCTTGATCGTAGTGTTAGTGGGATCAATATAGAAACAACGAGATGCCGTTTATTCCAGGCTGCATGTATGTGTGCTCAAACGGCAACTTCAGCTGTTCCAGTATAATTTATAACATCCCTTAGATATTGAAACGATGTGACTTTCTCTACCTTAATGGCTTCAAAAACATTGCTATTTCAAATTTGTTGTTGTGGATTGATGCAAGCAGGACAAACAAAATTGGACACCTTAGATAAAGTACCAATTATTTTTGAACAACGTTTGTGACACCACTGGTTACACTGCTGACACTTGATTGAATTGTTACCTACACCAGCTTTACAAACTGAACAGGGCCATCGTCCAGTAGCTGTAGATTGAATGGGTTCACCAGCGTTCATTGCTTTGGTTTTGCTGATGTTTTGACATGAAAGCTCTAAATGTTCTCATTTTCATATATTTTATATTTGTCTCTGCTGTTATTTATTAGTGTTATAATAACACTGTTATTAATTAAAAGTTAAATATTAAATTATTAATTTATGTTTTGTTTTTGTATTTTTTATTTCTTTTTTTTCTTAAGTACAAAAAAATTTTTTGTGAACATAAAACTTGTGGCATGTTTAATTAATTGTTTTTTACCTATAATTAAAAATATTAACAGAATTTTACTGTGTTGAGTTAACAAGTTACTTTGTTAATTTAATTACTAGATGATAATGATCAAATAATGTTAGTTAATTATTAATTTATGTTTTGTTTTTGTATTTTTTATTTCTTTTTTTTCTTAAGTACAAAAAAATTTTTTGTGAACATAAAACTTGTGGCATGTTTAATTAATTGTTTTTTACCTATAATTAAAAATATTAACAGAATTTTACTGTGTTGAGTTAACAAGTTACTTTGTTAATTTAATTACTAGATGATAATGATCAAATAATGTTAGTTAAATTAAAATGTAAGCTTAAGCTTAGTCTTTAAAAAAAGTTGTTTGCCATAGTCATGGCATAGTGTCATAGTCAGGACTTGGATTTCTATTCTATTTACAGTAGTCTAGCACTAATATGTTTGTTAGATTATTTATAATTAGTTAGAATTTGAAGTCTATTCCATCACCAATCTTTCTGAGCTTTAAAAAAAGGTTAAAGGTCAATCTCTATTTTGCCCTGGCTTCAGAGGTAACAATGATAAACACAAACAGTGCATATGATTATGCATGAAAACCATGCATTAAACAGATTGCATATAATAGGTTGGGATCTCTTTGTATTCAAACTCACTCATTGCAACAGCAGTTGTTGTTGAGTAAAATAATTAAGAATAATGTAAATCTCCGTTTTACAGATGAGTCACAAGCCTTATAGATTGAGGTGCACGCTGTTTGGGCATGAAAAAGATGTGAGGGGTTTGTGTAGTTTGTACCATCCTCCATCCAGCTTCATTTCAGTATCTAGAGATATCACAGCCAGAGTCTGGGTCTCTGATGAGTAATTATGATCTTTTTATTTGTTTTGTCTGATACTGATTGTTTCACTAAAAATTAAATGTATACGTGTTGTATGTGCATTTTTTTTGTTAGCTTTTTTGCCGGAAAGTGTTTTTTCTGAGATCGGTATTTTTAACGATTCGAAGTCATTTTTGATGATTTTGAGTGCAGAAAATATTTCCCCCGAGGTGAAGAAGTCTCCAGAGTTTTTTGAAATTATATCATTATTTATTTGTGAATAATTATTGGTTCAAAAGTATAAAACTTCATTGACAATAATATTTTTATTTGTGGCCGCCATCGCAACCCTTTCAATAATGTATATTATGTAGATGCCGTTTTTTATTATTTGCTAATACACTTTTCTAAAATTGTAAATATCTCTAAAAGTCTATCAACATAATTTTTTCCCACGGTGTTATAAAAGTTGAAAATTTATTATTTTTCATCATTCTCAAAACTATTTCTGAAATTAATTTTGATTTCTAAATTCTGGACATGTCTGGATTTTCCCGGATACACACTAACTTTAAATACATTAGCAGGTCTTTTTTATTAACTTCCAGATCGACATCTATGTATCGTGAGGGAATGTCGATGGGGGGCCATGAGAACTTCATATCATGCGTGTGCACCCTGCCGCCAGATGATGAGTATCCACATGGAGTCATATTGACAGGTAGCAATGACCACACCATCAATGGATACACAATCGATTCACCAGCTCCTGTCTTCAAATTAACTGGCCACACAAATACAGGTATCCCTATATATATATATATATATATATATATATATATATATATATATATATATATATTTGCTGGTAATAGACCATAATTTTTACAATATTCTATAAATTCTACCGAATGTTTGGCGTTAATATGTTTGTAGTTCGTTTTTTCGATTAAAAAAGTTACTAACTAAAGTTTTTTGGTGAACGTTTAGTTTATTAAAATTCAAAATAAACTTATTTTTGGAATTCATGCTGCAAATAAGGCCATACTTCGATTCCGAATGAATCATCGTCAGTGCTCCTTGGGTATATATATGGAAATATTGACTTTGTCAAGATTAACTTTGACGTTGTAAAAATTAACTTTGGTGTTGTAAAATTGAACTTTGATGCGAATTAGGTGTCAGGTTTCTTAATTGGCTGGACATCTTCTTTGGTCTCCTTTTCTTCATCAATAGCATTATATTCTTCTTTGTCACTATTTACGATGCTTGTTTTTATTACTTCTTTGTTTTCGTTGTTAGTTAAGCGCCAGGTTGGAAGTAAGGTTGTCATTTTATGTTGTATATTTTTTTTTTGATTTATTGATGTCAATTAGGACTGCTTCTGCAATTTTAAGATGCGTGTAGTTGCTGTTCTGGTATATTACTTTGGTGTTGCTGTCGAGGATTTCACGGCTAATTGTGATTGAGTGTGTTGAGTCCAAATGAGATTTGATAGCCCCACTCTGTTTATGCATCGTAAGCCTTCTAGTCAGTGAGGTAGTAGTAATCCCGATATATGAGTCATGTTGACGTGCACAGCCGTCAAAGGGGCAATTAAATTCATATGTTACGTGATTACGCTTTAACTCAGAGTTATCTCTAGGACTGCAGTTGTTTTTCAGTATTAGGTGAGACGTCTTTTTATTGTTGTAATAAATTCGGAGTTTAACTTTACTATTTGGGTTGGTTGGTGTGACATTTTTATTGATGATATGCTTAAGAATAGCTTCATCTACCTTGTATGCTGTTGACATGTGATTTCTGTAATACAAGATGATATCGTTATCTTGATTGTTGGTACTAGGAAGGTTATTGCTGTGTAGTAATTTGTTTTTAACAATCTTTTCAATAGAGTAAGTCTTATATCCATTGTTTACAAGCAGGTTAGTGACCCTCTTTAATTCAGCGTCGCGATTTTCAATATCGGAAGAGTGTTGAATGCCCGGTTCACAAATGATTTTATTGTGCTGTCTTTAAATTGTTCAGTGCATTCACTTTGTCCATTCAAACAAATTCCTGTATTCGTTTCTTTGACATAGACCGCGGTTTTGAATCGTTCTTCGCCACGGGTGACCAACACATCGAGGAAAGGTAAACGTTGTTCCTTTTCACTTTCAACATGACTCATATATCGGGATTACTACTACCTCACTGACTAGAAGGCTTACGATGCATAAACAGAGTGGTGCTATCAAATCTCATTTGGACTCAACACACTCAATCACAATTAGCCGTGAAATCCTCGACAGCAACACCAAAGTAACATACCAGAACAGCAACTACACGCATCTTAAAATTGCAGAAGCAGTCCTAATTGACATCAATAAACCAAAAATAAATATACAANAAAAAATGACAANCTCACTTACAACCTGGCGCTTAACCAACAACGAAAACAAAGAAGTAATAAAAACAAGCATCGTAAATAGTAACAAAGAAGAATATGATGCTATCGATGAAGAA